AAAAAAAAAAAAAAAAAAAAAAAAAAAAAAAAAAAAGGAATAAATGAAATTTTATTTTATTATTTATCTTTATAATGTTTTACTTAAACCATCTCTGATATACAATTATATATATAATAAAACATTTTAACGAAAAATTTATGAATATATATATATATATATATATATATATATATATATATATATATATGGGTATAAAATTATAAAAAATAAAAATAATTTATGCACTTATATTGACTTAAAAAGTATATATATATTTGTGTAATTTATATTGAAATAATGATTTAATATGTATATATTTACACATAGTAAAAATTTAAAAAAAATAAAATATTAAAATAAATACTTAATTTATATATATAAATATAAAAGGAGAATATAGCAAAATTATCTTTTATAATTGATATTTTAAAAAAAAAATTAAGTAATGTTTTTGTATATAGTTAATTTTTTCCACAATAAATCCACAAATTCATCTGATTGTAATGTTTCCTTTATTATATTATGTATAGTATTTTGATCTAATGTTATACTTTTATTTTTATTCTCTATATCGTTAGAATCATTGTTATTATGTTTATCAACAGTGTTATATTTAATTTCCTCTTTATTATCTGAAGAATTTGTATAACTGTATTTTTTACTATTTCTTTTACTATCTAATATATTGATAATTTTTTTATCATCATTTTCTATTTTATTTTGCATTTTTAGTAAAACATTATATGAGTCCGTATTATATGAATTTAATATGTAATTTTCTGAATTATTATTATTATTATTATTAACACTCATTTTATCTGATTTTAATTTAATAATATCTAACAAGGTTACTTTTTCCTCTTCACAATTATTATTATTATTGTTATTTAATTTTTCTTTATCTTTGTTTTTATAACTTTCAAATGAATTCTTATTAAATAGTTCATTATTTTTTCTGTCTAATTTACTATTTACTGAAAATTCTTCATTACTTTCATATTTACTTTTAATATATTTGAATGATTTACTATTTAAATTTTCATTATTATTTAATAAAATTTGCTTCTCACTTTTTTGAAAATTAGAACTTATTATATTATTATTAATACCACTATCTATATTTTTTTCTTTCTTTTTTTTTTTTTTCCCCTCTTCACTCAATTCATTATTTTTATTTAAACCTAATAAGCTCATAATAGCTTCACCTCCTTTTTTGGCGTTAAGTTCATTCTGAAAATGTATATTTTTTTCTTCATTTTTATTAAGGTTCAATATGTTATTATTATCATTTTCACAATACTCAACGCATGATAACTTTTTATTTTCATTTTCGTTTTCATATTCTGTTGATAACCCTTTAATCAAATAAAGAAGTTTTCTTCCAGCTTTATCGCCGTAATCTATATTATTTTGACTGCAATATGCTGCTTTTTTATTAGATGTACTTTTGTTATTTACATCATCTAAATCACCAGTTACATTTTTATTAGTTCCAAAATTACCATTACTATTAACACTACTGTTTATATTATAATAACTTTTCACATAATTATCATATGGAGTATTATCATTTTTTATATTCATTTTCACATAATCTATATCATTCATATTATAAAGTAAATCTAAATTATTTTCATTTTCATTATCATTGATGTTGTTTGATTTTAAAGAAGTAAGGTTATTATTTATCTTATTTTTTTTTAAAACATTACCATTTTCCTCATTATGTATACTTTTTAAAATTAAAGAATTATTAACACTATTATTGATAATATTATTACTATTATCATTATTATTATTATTATCATTATTATTATTAATAATATTATTACTATTATTATTATCATTATTATAATTATTATTATTATCATTATTATAATTATTATTATTATCATTATTATTATTATTATCACTATTCATATTATTTTTACTCACATTACTGTCATTATTATTATTATTATTATTATTTTCTATATCTAAGTTTTTATTTATTTTAATATCCTCATTTTTATTATAAAAATTATTTACATTTTTAAAATTTTCTTCTGTTTTTGTCACAACAGTTGTGTTATCATTCATGTTGTTATTTTTTGTAAATATATAGTTTACATTTTTACTATAATTGTTATTGCTACTTTTACTATTGTTATCTAAATAATTTTTTTCTTCACATGATTTTTCAACCAATTCTTTAAGAACACTATATATTTTTTCTTTTTCATCTGTACTGTAAAACCATAAACTATAAATGCTTTTAGAATTATTTTCTTCATTCAGAGTTCTATAAAAAATATAATTTTGATCTGTTGACAAATTAATATTTGCATCTATATCTTGCAATAAATGATTTTCATTTTTTTTATTTGTAATTATTAATCTGTAAAAAGGATAAATTGACCTTCTTACAATATATAAAAATCCTTCAATATCTGCTCTTATCCATTTTAATTCATTTTCTTTCATTTTATATACAGTTACGAAACATGACTTCATAATTATTTCAGTTATATAAATATCAATACTTTTTAACATTTTAAAGCAAATTTTTTCTCTTAACATACTTACTTCTTCATTTAAATTTTCATCTTCGATATTTCTATTATTTTCATTCTCAGAATGAACATTATCTTCATCATTTTTCTCATTACTATTTTCTTTAATTATTTTATTTATTATACCTGATGAATTCAAAGTAGACACATTATTTCTATTTTCTAATTGAGTATTATTATTATACGAATTATTATTATTATTAGAATTTTTGAATTTTTCTTTGTATTCATATATTTTTTTCGGTTGATATGAGTTATAATCATATGGATACGAATTTTTATTATATTTAAAATTATGAGAGTAATAATTATTGTTTCCATTAGGGTAATTTACATTCGTGTTCGTATGGACAATTGAAGAATTAATGTTATTATTATTATTATAATTTTCTTCATTTTTACAATTTTTTAAATCATTAACCAAATTATTTCCTACACTTTTTTTATTTTCATTAAAATTATATGAACCGTTCATATCATAACGATTCAGACGACCTTTTAGTTTTCCGTAATTTGTGGAAATATTATTCTTCTTTTTCATTTTTTATCAAAAAAAAAAAAAAAAAAAAACATATATAAATATGTATGCGTATATATTAAAAGATAAACTAAATTGTTCTAATATAAATATATTATACATACATACATAC